TGCATTGCATGGGTCTGGCTTTTCCCTGCCCAGGACTCTAAAGTTAAGCATTTGTTTTGCCATGACTCACCCATGTTCTTGAGACGTTTGTCTGCCTTTTAATCAGGGGAAAGATTTGATGGAAAAACAGACCTGAACATGGTTCAGAGAAGCTCTTGTCTCCTTATATCTATAACAAAGACCTTTATTCATATATATGAATAAATGATAACCAAAACTCAGAAGTAGTTAAGGAAAACCATTAGCTAGATAAGAAAATAATCAAATTATAAACTAAAGAAATTAAGGACTGGGGAGAAAAAATTAAAAGAGTTATTTGATAAAGTATGCATTGAAAACAAAAAGCAGAATAGTATTACAAAAGATCATGGCATTAAAAAGACAAGGAAGAAAGAAAGAAAGGAGAAAAGGAGGGAAGAAATAAATTCTTTAACATTGTGTTTCTCTTAAAATGATTCCAATAAATAAATATTTTATGATATGACACAAAGCAAGGAATTTGGACAAACATTTAATTATTTACCTTCTTACAGTCTCTGGAATGGAAAGGGAATGAGGTCCATCAGGCCAGCCAAAGAGACTGAACCAGATCTCAGCTGCATTTACAACTTTCTCGAAGAGTTTCTACTCCTCTGTTCCTTCTTTAAGAGAAAAGAATGATTCACTTTTCTCCTCCTTTTCTATAGATCCATCTTTCTTTGATTCTTCACATTTATCCAAGTTCAAGTCATCCTGCATATTTTCCAGTCCTAAAATTTATATTTTGTTCGTAAAAAGGGTTATTTGAACATAGAGTAAAATATTGTGTCAAATGGCTATTGCCATATGTATATAGACAAATACAGTCCATTATACAAATTATTGCTTGCTTTCAAGGAAACTCTGAGTCAATTTACTTTATCTTAAGTAATGAAAATATATTTATTTACAAATACCCAATAGAAATGTTTTTAAAATTGGGGACCAGCAGTTGGCATAATGGCTATGTCGCTGGGCTCCCACGTAGTTGACTGTGGTTCGAGTCCCAGACCCAGTGGCTTAAACTCACACCAGAGGTGCATGTGCATGCCCAGGATCCTGAAAAAAGAATGGAGGAGAAGGGATTGCGGCGCGGCCATTCTCCCTGGGGGGATGATTTCTTGCTCTCTGTGTCTCTGTTGCTCTCTGTCTTTCTGGCAAGCACACACGCCCTATAGCAAAACCTCTCCAAAAAAAAAAAAAGAAATATTTTTAAAATAGATTAATTTCATGCTGGGAAAAACCATGTACACTGTAAAGATGTACAGTGATTAAGTGTAAATAAAAAAATAAAAATTAAAAAAATACAGGAATTTTGAGGCTGGCAGGTGGCATAGTGGCTAAGGCACTGGAC